AAATTTTTTTTTTCTTTATATTTTTTTTAATAATTAATTAAAATTAAAAAACTTAAGAAACATATAAAATAATAATTTAAAATAAAATTATTATATAGTAAAATATAAATCTAATAATTTGTAAAATCCCTAAATCAAGGCAAAAATACACATTTATTTAAGAATTATTTTTTGAAATAATATAAAATGAAGAATCATAAACAATGATAATTCACTACAAAAACATCAAATGGAAAAGTATTAAATGTATAAATGATATTGATTTACTTGTAGAAATATACTAATAAAACTAAAATTAAAAACAATAAAATTTATATGCTAAACATGCAAATCATAAATAAATCTAAATGATTTTTACTATGACACACATTTATCACAAGCTTTCAAAAAAATATTCCTTCGATACAATAAAGGAAACATTTACTTACGTTTGTGAAATAATATCTTATAGAAACTGTGATTTTAATCCAATTTTATAAAATGAAAAATATTCATAATTTCCTCTAGTTAATTGAATAGCTTTATTTACTTAAAATCTAAATTAATAAGAATTTAAAAACTATTTGATTAAAACTCTAAAAATAATTATAAACGGAAGATTCAATATTAAAAAGACTCGGTATATCATTAAATTTTGAATCTTACTATTTAATAGATGAAGAATACAATGTAAACTCAAGATTGATGCAATTTTTATTAAATTTTGTAAAAAAATATGAAACAACTAGCGATAAAAAATATTCTATAACAATAGGTTTAGCTGTATAATAATTAAACATTGAATAAGGTTACGTAAACTGTGGTTTTATTAAATATTTTGAAAATCAGCATACACAAGAGGAGCTTTTGAGTAATTTTGAATATGGAATTATAGTATTTTATTATTAAAAAACATGTTCTTTAATTGCTGTTTATTTTAAAATTAAAATTGTGATTTTATGCACAAAGATCATTTGAAAATGATACTAGCAATAATATCTGCATTTAGAAGAATAGTTTTTTTTTAAAAAAAATGCTTCAATAATTATTTTTATTAATTAAGTTTTCATAGTTTATCAGACTTTAAATATAGTTGTTTTATTGTATTTAATATTTTATTTAAATTTATTATCTATTAATATGATTCTAATCTTTTTGACAATTTCAATTAAAATTAAGTTGATATCCTTAAAAAAGATAATAGTCTTTATTTTTTGGATCTTATTAAAATCTATGGAACTTGATTCTAAAACTAAATAATTTTTCAGACCTATAAAAAATGATAATAATTAGAAAAAGTAAAGTAAATATTATACCCCGAAAATTAATTAAAAAGAAGGTGTAAGTAGTATTTTTAGTCTTCAAGTATTAAAAAATAGTTAAAATGCTCTTTCTCTCTTTCTAGTAAAATTTGATGAAGAGTCGGAAATTTAAAGTGAAAAGAGTAATGAAGATGAATATAATTAATGTATTTTTAAAAATTTAATACACATTTTATTTTTAAAAGAAAATATTTTATAATTTTAAATTTATTTTATTTATTTATGAGAAAATAAAATAAAAAAGAGTTTAAATTTTTAAGAGGAAATTGAGAAAATTAAGAGATTACATTTAAAATAAAATGGAAAATACAAATGCATAAAGAAAAGTTAATAAATTATTAGAAAAATTTTAATATGATATTATTAAAGAAATAAAAAAAAATAGTAAAATATAGGATAATGATAAAAAACGTATATATTATTTAAAATAATATATATACAAAACTTACGAATTTAAAAATAATATTAATTAGATTAGCAAATTATTATATAAACTAAAAATTATAAGAATTTATTTAGAAATAAAATCAAATCAAATCAAAGCTTAGAAGATTAAGATAACCCAAAAACCATAAAAAATACTTAGAAAGATAATAGATACATCTATCACTAGATAATCTAAAAAAATTATTGAAAATTTTGAAAAAGATGTATATAGAAAAATAGATTTTAAAAATAGCAATAGATAATTTGATCCTATAAAACAAGAGGTTTAAACGGAACAATATATGCAAAATTATAATTCATTTGTTTCTTTAGATTACTATTATTATAACTATGATATTCAAAAATATGAATAATTAATAGATGAACACAATTATAGATATCATAATATGATATTTTCTAAACTAGGATTAGGTTTGTAAACTTAAGAAAATCCTCAAAAACAGCCAAATATATTCAAAAATATATAATCAAATATTTTTATGGTAATTACTTTAAATGATTATACAAAACTTAAAGCCGCAAACCTTCGGATAAGTTTTTAGATTTTTTCATTCGTTTTTTGGAAGAAAAGTAGACATATAATATGTATATCTATAGTATTAATAATAAAGAATACCCAAAAGGTATTAAAATATTTTTCTTAACAACTAGCTTTTATAAGTATTTCACATAAAATAATCCTTTGAATACTAAAGATTTTTTCAACTTATCCAGAAAATCTAAATGAGAATACGATTATAATTAATATGGAAAAAGCTATTTAAAAAGAATATTAAGAGAAATACATGAAAAGCTTCAAATTTATTAGGAGGGTTATAAGTAAATTATTGATAACAATTTAATGTAAAAAAAGTAATTTCTGCAGATTATTCTTCATATTTGATATTTGATTTCTAATTTATCAAGAAAAAAATATAAATTAAATATAAAATAATATGAATTTAATTAATTAGCTGTTTATATTCGAATAATTAAATAAAATAAAAAAAATTAAATTATTATTGATAATTTGCATTTCTTAATGAATTTTTTTATAAATTTTTTTATTTATTTTATTCTATACATTTTTATTATTTTATTTTTATTTATTTGTATTTTTTTGTTTTATTGAATTTTTTTTATTTATATTGTTTTATAAGTTTATTTATATTTATATTTTAATTTATAATACAATTTATTACCAATATTAATATAAACAAAGCTATTTGTTTTCATTTTAACAATTTATAATTTCTTTGTTAATATTAATTCTATTTTTCTAATTATTTAATTTAATTAAATTTAAATATAAGTAAAAATAATAAAAAAACTAAAATAATATATTATAAAAGATATATCAAAACTAAAAAAGAAAAATATTAAATTAAAAAAAATATTTATATAATAATAAAGCATAAAGAAATAAATAAATAGAAAATGTATTGCATTTACCATATAAAAATTCCTATTTCAAAGCATATATATATACATATTTAAAAAAAAAACTAAAAATAATTAAATATTGTTTATTTAATAAATTTTGAAGTAATTACTTTTTTTTATATTTATGTTAATTAAAAAAAGTATAATTTTTAAATAGAAATCAAAAAAAAAACAAAAATATAATATATACAAATTAATATAATATAAAAATGTAATTAATTATAAAGTTAATATTAATATAAAATGTATTTGATATATGTATTAATATAAATATTTATTTTATTTAAAAAAAAAAAAACTAAGTATAAATTAATAAAAATATATTTAAAAATAAAAAAAATAAATTATAATATAAAATACATATATAATAAAAAAAAAATTAATATGGAAAAAAAAATTGTAATTAATATTATTTATTATATTATTTAAATCATAAAATTATATATTATAAAAAAAAAAAAATATAAAAATAAATAGATAATATATAGAAAAAATAAAAATTAAACATTATAATTTTATAGAAAATTATAAATTATTATTATTTTTAAAATATATAATAATTATCTATTTATAATAATGTAAAATAATTTTTAAAAAAATATTTATTTATATAAAGATATTTTTAAATATAAAATTAAATTATTATTTTAAAATAAATGTTTAAAATTAATATAAATAAATTTATTATTCTAATAATTATATATATAAATATAAATATAAATATAAATAAAAATATTAATATAAATTTATATTTAAATTACTTCTGTGTTTTTTTTATTTCAAAATTATATATTTTATATATTATAAGCATTTATATTTATATATTATATTTAAAATATTATTTTGTTAAAAAAATATATTATAAAAAATTAAAAAATATCTTTTTAAATAAAATTTATATTTTAATGCTTAATAATATTTACACTTTTTATTTATTATTTTTATTTTTAAATATGTAAAATTTTCTATTTAATATAAATATTTTTTTTTTATAAAATTTTATTATATTAAAGTTTTTGATATATTATTTTATCATGTTTTAAATTTTTATAAATATCAGATTGATAATATGTATTTTTTTTTATTATATATTTATACTATTTATATATATATTTAAAAGAAATCATAATAATAATAATTTAAAAAAAATAGAAAAATTAATATAATATTAAAAAATAATTAATATAAAATAAATTAATTCTTATAATATATATAATATTATTTTTATGATATATAATTTTAATTTATTTCAAAAAAAAATATCTAATATTAATATTAAAAATTAATATTATTTTTAATTTTATATCTAATATTCAATATAAAATATATGTTTTTAAAAATTAATTATACCTAATATTATTATTACTAATTACATTTCTTTTTAATTAAAAGTAAACATTGAATTCAAATTTAAAGATGATTAAATTTAATATGTTTTTAATTATATTCTTAATTTTAAATATTTAATTTCGAAATTTACGATAGTTATAAAGATGCTTATCCACTAATTTTTCAAAAAATGATGTGGATTTGTGTGGTTTTAAAATATAAGGACATATTAATATTAATTATGTTAATTTATGTGGTACATATACTATTTTAGGAGGTTTTGGAATATGTGGATAAAATTGTGTTATAAGCAATAGCTTTAAATCAACTAATCCAGTATATAGTTATACAATCTAATTTAAGTATATTTTGATTGATACGTGGGATACTACTGAATATCTTATTGTTTAAATAAATGGATAAGATGCAAAACGTGTATAAAAAGCTGTTGCATCATCAAATCTATGTGGGTTACCATCTAATGAAGAAATATTAACTTTAATGTTTGATTATACTACTAATGAATAAGATATCTATATGACAATAAGTAATAACTTGGATGAATGGCCTGATAATGAATCTTTAGGTATAAGGGAATTTGCAATTTATGCTAATGAATGTAAGGCTGGATGTGTATAATGCACTGACAGTGTTTCTTGTAGTAAATGTTTAACAGACTAATATTTAGAAGCAGGTAGTTGTATTAATTGTATTGCAAATTGTCAAGAATGTACAAAAAAAGATTCATGCGATTTATGCAAAAGTGGATTTGTTTATAATGATTTTTAATGTGTTTCTGCCTGTCCAAATAATAAATATGTAGATAATGCGACTAGAACTTGCCATGATTGCGATCATAAATGTAAAACTTGTTCTAATGCAACCAACTGTGACACTTGCTTTTTGAATAGAGTTACACCTGATTGCGGATGTCCTGCTCATAATTATGATAACTCTAATTATTAACAAGCTTGTTTTAAATGTTCTGATATATCTGTTGGATGTTCTACTTGTGATAATGTTAAGTGTTAAGCATGTTTACCGTCACATTTTTTAGATGGAAATTCATGTGTAATAGACTGTCCTGCAGGTAAATGGGGAAATACGGTAACCAGATAATGTGCAAATTGCTTAGCTAAATGTAAAACATGTTCTAATGCAACCAACTGTGACACTTGCTTTTTGAATAGAGTTGCACCTGATTGTGGATGTCCTGCTCATAATTATGATAACTCTAATTATTAAGAAGCTTGTTTTAAATGTTCTGATATATCTGTTGGATGTTCTACTTGTGATAATGTTACGTGCTAAGCATGTTTACCGTCACATTTTTTAGATGGAAATTCATGTGTAATAGACTGTCCTGCAGGTAAATGGGGAAATACGGTAACCAGATAATGTACAGATTGCTTAGCTAAATGTGTAACTTGTTCTAATAGCAATACTTGTGACATTTGCTTTCAGAATAGAGTACCTTAATAATGTAATTGTCCTTAATATTCCTATGATCCTAATGTTTTCAATTAAGCTTGCACTATGTGTTCTACTTTTTCAACTGGATGTGCTTCATGCAATACAACTAAATGTCTTACATGTATAAGTCCTTATTATTTTTAATTGAATTTGAATACATAATGTGATTCATGCTTAACTATAATGACTAAAATATATTTTAGCGAAGATTTATTATAGTTAATTATAGATTTTGATAATTACTTTACTAATTTATAAATTAGACTAATTCTCGCAAATTTAGATTTATAAGAGTACTCTTCATAATTATAATTTACTAATTAACTTTGCATAGAAACTTTGGATTAAGCCTTCATTTCTTCTAAATTATAAGGAAATATTTTGTGTTCTTTCAACTAATTTTAAAAAAAACTTACAGTTTAGCTTGATACTGTAAGTACTATTAATAAGGATGATATAATAAAAATAAAACCTGGTGTATTCAAACTAACAAATAATGGATTTGATTGCCCTGATTTTCTTTAATAAATAACTGGAAAAGTAATTTTAGACACAAGTCCAGTTATTGAGTTAACTTAAACAAGTCCTATTTCGATATGTTAATAAGCCTAAATAAGAATATCTAGTGTTTCTAATTCTGGAAATAGAAAATTAAAGTAAATTACTTGGACGCTTGTTTCTTCTAATGTAAATACGGCAAATGAAATAAATGAAATAAATACATTAATCTAATAATAAAATAACAACTTATTTTTAGAAATACCACCTTTATAACTGAAAAAACAAGGATAATACTAATTCTAAGTATATGTAGCTACCTAGTTAATGGTCAAGCATCAACTGCAAACACAATAATAGAAACTTTAGCAGATACATCGATTGAAATAAATGCAAATATAAATCCAAATCAAATTTATAGAAGTAGTTTAGTGAATGTGAGTTTGAATTTTAATCTTTTGTAATGTGAAGATAATGGAAAATATTTTATTAATAAGAAAATGTTTATGACTTATAAATAAAATAACATGACAATTTAACTGAATAATTAAACATTGATTCCATATAATAAATTTAAGGAACTTAGTTTTAATTTTAAATTTAACCTTTTATTATGAAAGTGAAAACAACATACAATATATAAATAATTGCTTCTTTAAAATCTAATCCTAAAATTACACAATAAATATTATTCCCAATATAAATTCTTTCTAGTCCTCCTTTAGTTTAAATTTTAGGAGGAAATAGATAATAATCATTTTCTTAAAGTTTTGATATACAAGCAATAGTAGATGATCCTAATTTATCTTCAAGTGAAAAAATTCAATTAAAAGCAACTAATTATGGAATAAATATGAATTGGTAATGCATCAACTTCAGTACTGGAAATGATTGTAAAGACTCATCGAATAATTTAATTGTTTCTCCAATTGCATAAAACTTATAAATTAGCATAAAAAAGAATATATTACATCCTTATTAATAATATTAATTTAAATTATAAGGAACAAAAGATGGAATAAAATCATTTGATTAGATAACAATATTAATGGTTGATTATTCCGTTTCTCCTATTAATCCTACTATTTCTATTAACAATACTTAAAATACAATAAATTTAAATTAAGAAATATTTATTTAATTTGATGGTCAAGAAGATACAAATGTTGATGACTTAGTAATTACAGGAGTTATTTTATATTAGAATTAATAAGTAAGTATAATATCATCAAATTACATCTAACTTAGATTTAAAGTTTGGGAATATTTCTTCGACTTTTAAAATTAAAATTAATTTGAATTAAAATTTTCAGTAAGAAATCCAAATTTTATAATACCAACATTAATTTCTTATTCTTTAAATGCTAACACACCTCCCAAACATTGTACTTTCGATTAAGTTGCTGGCTTTGATATTAGAAATATGTAAGATAAATAAGTTCTTTTAATAAAGGGATGTATTGATATTGATTAACCTTTATCTTATTCTTTCTATTTTTATAAAGATTAAGATGATTATAATAATGAATTATTAAATGCATAATATATTAATAGACATTTATTATCTGATTTCTCACCAAATAGTAGTATTGAAACTGTTTTACCTTTTGGTGCGTCCTTAATTATGGGAGTAATATAAGATTCGAAAGGAGGAATAAGAAATATAACTTAATAAATTACAGTAAACCAATATACTTAAGATAGTTCTTCATATTATACATTTATAAATAATTAGTTTACCTAAATTTAATAAAATAATTTAAATTAAAATAAAATTATTTATTATAATATGATTATTTATGATATTATTAATCATGTGAGTGTCCTATAATTGCTAGCAAATTCTTAATTTACATAATTATATATTGAAATTTTAAATGAAGTTTTGAGTTTGTAAAACTATTTTTAATAAACTGACTCTTAAGACTATTTTATATAGACGCAAATAACATTAGATTTAATATTTGGTAACTTTCTCAATTAAATAATATTATAATTAGGATTTGATAAAATCCAATAATTTATTAATAATATTTAATAAATAATAGCAGATTAATTAGGAGTAATTAAAAATATAGTAATTTCTGACACAACATAATATTAAAAATCTTTTTAATCAGTATAAATTCTTATATTATAAGCAAAAATAATTTAAAAGATTTAATAAGTTGATAGAAAATTATTCTATCATAAATAAAACTCCTAATTAGATAAATAATACATGTAAATAATGAAAACGATATCGTAAACATTGAATGTGTTTTTAATTCCTAACGAGAATCCTATAAAGGCTCTAAATATAATTTCTACTTAAACAATAACATATAACGTTTTAAAAGAAAAACATTTGAAACTATTCTAAAATGCATACTATGATAGTATAAATATAAAAAAAGACTAAGAAAATCTATAATACCATGTAAATTATATAGAATATCCTTCTTCTGTAATAGCTTATGATGATAATTTCCCTTACTCAAAGAATCATTCATTTATCATAAATGAAAAGACAATAACTTTTGAATCTAATTAATAATAAATACAACTTGATATTCATTTATTCAGCATTTATAATTTATCTTAAACAGTAGATAATGTTGGGAATTACATTTGTATATAAGATATTTAAGGCAAATGGATTTCTAAAGATTGTATACTTTTATATTATATTAATGACTAAAATCAAATATAATAATTTATATGTTAATGCAAAACCCAAGGAAAATAAACTCTTGTTAATGACATAAATTAAATATTTAAAGTGACTCGTATAAATGATTGGTATTTGTATGCTTCTGTGTCGAATTTAGTTGCTACTACCATAATTTATGTGATGTTATTTATATATTTATAATAAATCGATAATATTCA